GCGACGACCACCAATGAAGTCGATTCTTCATTCTCTCTTTTGACAAAAGAAGGTAAGGAAATCAACGCTCTAATACGGTACCTACTGTTCATTCTTTCAACTCTCAAATAGAGCACCAATATTGACGAAAATATAAGAAACTCTCTTTTTCTTCGTCTATTTCAGAAACTACATTGCATATTCTACACCCTACATAACAGTTTTAGGTACCTTCTTAGATCTGAATGGGTTTATGCTTGCATGCTTCAGTTTTTTGGGTTAAGAACTAATTTTAGTTGGACATTTCAACAAACACATAGAAGGAACACTAATTTTGGTTGGGCATTTTATGCATTGTAGTTTATGTTTTGGGTTTTGATTTTGGTTTTCATTGTAGTTTATGTTTTGTTCATTTTTCAACCTCCATTATGTTTGGTTTCATTCAAGTTGCTTTATAGTTTCTGACTTCATTTTTTAAAAGAAAAATTAGGTATTAGACATAATTAACTTTACTAATTAGTATGTGAGACATTGAGTATTTTAGTTTGGGTTTTAATACCTAGTAAAGAATTGCTATTTTAGATTAGGCCAAAGAGGCGGCCCAAATTCGTTGGGCCAGATCTAAGTTCACAAATTTGAGATCAATGTAGTAGTATATTTCGTTTATTTATATATGAACTCATTACAAGTTCCATTGTTTATAATAAGTATGATATCGTCAATGTAAAATGTTCCATTATTTGGCAACCAAATTTAATATAATTTTTTTCTTTTGATGCTAGTACATGTGTTGATGCCCATGTATGACATGTAGGCTAGACTAGGAGAAAAACATAGTTGCAAAAAGGATAGCACTGTTTTCCTATATCAGACCAATAATGCTATGCTAAGTGGAAGTGTTATCACATGTGTCATAACATTATTGGTCGAAGATAACAAAATATTATCCTTATTTCATGGAAGTATTTCTCCTTAGACTAGATGATTGTAAACCTATGCTAGGGTACAACAACACCGAAGAAATCTTGTCTAACTGCTTTCCAATTTTATAATCTCATATTCTCGTCTCTCCTTCCCATTTCAATTCTTTTTACTTCTGATTAATTTTTATCTTGATTTCTTGTTATGTAATAATGTGTGAGCAAATTTGTTAAGTACTAAAATGCATGAATTTTTTTTTAACAAAATAAAGAAATTAGAAACAAATAAATAAATTAAATAATAGAAACGCTAGTAAGTGGTCCTTAGAAATATACCCGTCCAAGAATCGAACGTATATTAAAGATAAATACACAACAAAGACTCAGTCATTCCTCCAAAACCTCCTATGTTTTAATTCCTCTTCGCGCCTATTTTCCCATACAAGTTACGCAGCACAAATGTTGTGACGCGTTGGTTGGTGGTGTGCCCTATTTTTCTTTTTGTTGCAGGCTTTTATTAATAGAATATGTTGGGCCGTCAAATTTAGAAAGAAGAACTTGGACCACGTCAGGAGTCTTTCGTTAAAAGAGGCCTTTCTTCGCATGGAGGCCCAAATCAGGATCCTTTTTCGGTTTGTGGTTCGTCTGGAGTTGGTCCGTTTTTGGGGACATGAACTATGGAGGTCAGCTCAATCCTGTTTTCTGTCTTGCACCTTTTATTATTGACAATTAGTTTGCGCGCACCCAAACACCCAAGAAAGATGACGGGCAGAATGTTTACTCTGAAAGGATTCTCCATGCCCTTAAGCATGCACACAAACCGAGCTATGGTGGATAGCCACTGAGAGATTCCACAAATTAATCCAAAAATGTCAGGAAACATTTCTAAACGCGGGCTTGAGCTTTCTCCATTTTTACACTTGAGAATGAGTTCGCAGATGTAAAAGAATAGAGCCACAGAAGCCAACCACATACCAGTGAGTGCAAACTGGGGATTTCCTGGGGAGAAAAACTGATCACAAATAGCTGCAAGGATCTCCAGGAAGAAGCTAAGGATTAAAAATATCCACTCCACCGTATCGGCCTGCAAAAAAGATAATTAGCCACACAATCAACAAAATCTTCTCTGCTGAAGGAAAAATAAGACAGTTGGAAGATTTTTTACCTCTAATAAGAAGCTTTTAATAGTAGTACTCCAACATGTATTTTCTACCACGCCTTCATTTGCTTTCGGTTTGGGTTCCTAGTATGAAAAGGCAATTGCATTAACAAATTATATATATAAAAAAGGTTTTGTTTGTAAATTTGAATACATATGTGTATTAACAGATTATATATAATACTTACTATAACATCGACAATATGGCTACGTAGCATTTCCAATTTTTTAGTAGCGGAGCTGGTTTCATCTCGTCCAGGAAACCCTTCAGTGCCTTCAGTTGCATTTACTCCCTATAGTATGAAAAAGCAATTGCATGCATACATAAATAAATAAATATAAAAATAAATAAAAGGAGTTTTCTTGACAAATTGAATAAGATAATACATAGGACTTCTTCCTCGAAGTGTTTGTAATGCTTGAGTACCGGAGGCTATCTCATCACCTTCAATAAACTTTTCAACGCAATCGTGCTAGAAAATTAATATAATAAAAAAGGCTTTGTTTGCCAAATTGAATAAGACAATATATTTCACTCACTGTTATATCGTCATCACTTCCAGGAATTTTTTCATGAAGCCTTTCTACTGCATCAGTAGTGGGGAATGCCTCATCCCCTTCAAGAAACTTTTCAACGCTTGTAGCTTCAGTTATTCCCTATTGCATGAAAAATCAATTATACTAACAAAATAACATATAAAAAGGTAAAAAGGTTTTGCTTGTGAAATTGAATAAGACAATGTATACGTGCATATACATATGTTTTTTCACTCAAGGTAACATCTTCAGTTTCAGGAATTTTTGCATGAAGAGTTTCTACTTCCAGAGTACTGGAGAATGTTTCATCGCCTTCAAGCAAACAATTAGAGCATCTCCACCCACAAGGGCTAAGTCTAAGGCAAGGGCAAGCAAGGGCTGCCACTATTCACGTGAATAGTGTCAGCCTTGCCATTTGCAACTCCACCCATGAGGGCAAGGTCTAGGGCAAGTCAAAGGCAAATACTATTCATTGTACTTCATTTCCTATTTTTTTATACTTTAAACCATTAATTTTGATAATCTTTTGTAATTAAATTTTTGGATAAAAAAATATTGGATGTAGAAGAATTGAATGAAGATTTGGTGTGGAAAGTGAATAATGTGAGTGAAGACTAAAAAATATTGGATAAAGAAGAATTGTATGAAGATTTGGTGTGGAAAGTAAATAAAATGGTTAGGTATTTTATAGGGAAAAAATACAGAATTTTTTGGTATTTTTTAAAAAAAATTTCAGAATTTTTTCGAAATTTTTTGCAATTTTTAAAGCCAAAAAAAGGAGGACCGTCGGATTTCTGGAAAAAAAAAGATCGGAGCGTCCCTGTCGCGACACGTGGCACAACAGTAAAAAAAAATTTGAATTTCCGCACGCTGACGTCAGCATGACGTCACAAAACTCAGGCTGAAGCCCAGGTAGAACTTGCCCTTGGGCCTGCCCGGGCTGGTGGGACCCAAGGCTTGCCCGGGCTGCAGGTGCTGCGCTGGAGTGCAAAACTGGGCTTTGGGGTGCCTTTTGCCCGGGTTATTGCCTAGCGGTGGAGATGCTCTTAGTGCTGGCAGCTTCAATTAGTACTCCCTATTTTATGGAGGATAATAGCAGTAAAAAAATAATATATTATGGAGAATAATATATTGAATAAGACAACATATATATATAGAAATATTAATGAGTGCTGCTATTTTCACCTCCTTGTCCTATTTCCCCATTCACCTTATCTTCAAAATTTTAAAGGCAAATTTACCCCTTTGTAAAATGACTTCTAACGACTAAAGGAAGAAACCTCAACTCACGTAAAATATTTATCCATAATATTTTCTGAAGCTACAATGCAGAGAATAAAAAACTAAAAAATCCATAAAATCAAAATATTATACTAAAACATTTGTCCAATCCGCCAAACACAAGTTGACATGTAAGAAACTTAGCAGAACTCATATTAATATGTAAGCAACTCACTGTCACATCTTCAGTTCCAAGAATTTTTGCTTCAACTGTTTCTACTACTTGAATACTTGCGCTTTCAGCTTCATTTGGCTCCTGTTTTAAGATATAAAACAATCAAACTACAAAAGTAAATAAAAAATAAATTATTTGGCTATTTTTGCTTCTTATTTCGTAGGTATCTTTGGTTAGATAATCTTGTGAGGTGATGGGATTTTGGTGAACCATTAAGATTTGGAGCCCACAAGTCCAGAAGCAAAGAGAAGAAACCTAGAGTCCAACTTGAATTCATATTTGAGGTTTTTCACACTTTCAAATTTAAATGAGAAAGAATATTTTTTGTTTCTCTCCAGCAAATGAGAAACAAGATTGAGAGAGGAGAGAGTTTGGAAGAGAGAAGAGTTTTTTGGTGTGTAGAGATGATCGGATTCAAGTGATCTTTTGTAGAGATGATGTTTGAATGAGTATCTACAAAATAGATGGTTTGGAGTAGTGAAAAACAAGGCTAAATGGGTCATGCAATTATTTGAAGGAGCTCTCAATGGAAGCTCTGTGTGTGTGTGTGTGTGTGTAAAGTTTGCTTTAGTTTAGAGATTGCTCAAATAAGCTTATTTGAAGGACATTTTTATAGAGCCCAGCACATATTGTATTTCAATGATCCGACCAGCCTAGTTTTTTTATATTCTCTCAAGGATCATCTTCACAAATAATCACTTGAATCCCAATCCATTTGACCACTAAATTATGTGGTTGGTAACGTAGTCTTTTCTTGAAGCACCGTGTTCGTCGATTTTGTTGCTCCCAACTCAATGCCTTAATGATTGATTTTCAATTTTTTCAATTTTTTTCAAGGATGATCTACGAATGAAGAAAAAAATTTGTAAGGGAGCCTAGGTATTCTTCTACTCACTGTAATATCGTCTGTTCCTTGAATTTTTCCTTGAAGCCTATCTTCTTCTTGAGCGCTGGAATTTGTCTCATCTCCGTCAACCAACTTTTTTGTGGTTTCAGCTTTGTAAAGTGCCTATTTTATGAAAACAATAATTATATCAAGTAAAATGGTTTTGCAATTTCAAGAAAAAAACGAAGAAACAAAAAATAAAAACGTTTGCTTGTCTAATTGTGTAAGAAAATACATGTCCATATAAATATTAATATACATGTATTCTACTTACATCGTCAGTTCCAGGAGTTTTTCCTAGCAAGTCTTCTTCTTGAATACTGGAGATTGTCTTATCTCCTTCAACCAAGTTTACATTGTTTTCATCTTCATTTTGTTCCTTTTCATGAAAAAACCATTGATTCAACGAATTATTATGTATAGAGATTCAATTGAGGGATTCTTCAAATAAGCATATTTGAGACAACACATTGTTTTTCAATATATTAAGAAAACTAAAAAGGTTTTGCTTGACAAATTGAATAAGATAATATATATATGTGCAAATATTAATGAGCGCTGCTATTTCCACCTCCTTGTTCTATTTCCGCATCCACCTTATCTCCACAATTTTAAAGGCAAATTTACTTCTTTGTAAAATGACTTCTAACGACTTAAGGAAGAAACCTCAACTCACATAAAATATTTATCCATAATATTTTCAGAAGCTACAATGCAGAGAATAAAAAACTAAAAAATCCATAAAATCAAAATATTATACTAAAACATTTGTCCAATCCGTCAAACACAAGTTGATATGTAAGAAACTTAGCAGCACTCATATTAATATGTAAGCAACTCACTGTCACATCTTCAGTTCCAAGAATTTTTGCTTCAACTGTTTCTACTACTTGAGTACTTGTGCTTTCAGCTTCATTTGGCTCCTGTTTTAAGATATAAAACAATCAAACTACAAAAGTAAATAAAAAATAAATTATTTGGCTATTTTTGCTTCTTATTTCGTAGGTATCTTTGGTTAGATAATCTTGTGAGGTGATGGGATTTTGGTGAACCATTAAGATTTGGAGCCCACAAGTCCAGAAGCAAAGAGAAGAAACCTAGAGTCCAACTTGAATTCATATTTGAGGTTTTTCACACTTTCAAATTTAAATGAGAAAGAATATTTTTTGTTTCTCTCCAGCAAATGAGAAACAAGATTGAGAGATGAGAGTTTGGAAGAGAGAAGAGTTTATTTATTTATTTATTTTTGGTGTGTAGAGATGATCGGATTCAAGTGATCTTTTGTAGAGATGATGTTTGAATGAATATCTACAAAATAGATAGTTTGGAGTAGTGAAATACAAGGCTAAGTGGGTCATGCAATTATTTGAAGGAGCTCTCAATGGAAGCTCTGTGTGTGTGTGTGTGTGTGTAAAGTTTGCTTTAGTTTAGAGATTGCTCAAATAAGCTTGTTTGAAGGACATTTTTATAGAGCCCAGCACATATTGTATTTCAATGATCCGACCAGCCTAGTTTATTCATATTCTCTCAAGGATCATCTTCACAAATAATCACTTGAATCCCAACCCATTTGACCACTAAATTATGTGGTTGTTAACGTAGTCTTTTCTTGAAGCACCGTGTTCGTCGATTTTGTTGCTCCCAACTCAATGCCTTAATGATTGATTTTCAATTTTTTCAATTTTTTTCAAGGATGATCTACGAATGAAGAAAAAAATTTGTAAGGGAGCCTAGGTATTCTTCTACTCACTGTAATATCGTCTGTTCCTTGAATTTTTCCTTGAAGCCTATCTTCTTCTTGAGTGCTGGAATTTGTCTCATCTCCGTCAACCAACTTTTTTGTGGTTTCAGCTTTGTAAAGTGCCTATTTTATGAAAACAATAATTATATCAAAAACCTCAACTCACATAAAATATTTATCCATAATATTTTCAGAAGCTACAATGCAGAGAATAAAAAACTAAAAAATCCATAAAATCAAAATATTATACTAAAACATTTGTCCAATCCGTCAAACACAAGTTGATATGTAAGAAACTTAGCAGCACTCATATTAATATGTAAGCAACTCACTGTCACATCTTCAGTTCCAAGAATTTTTGCTTCAACTGTTTCTACTACTTGAGTACTTGTGCTTTCAGCTTCATTTGGCTCCTGTTTTAAGATATAAAACAATCAAACTACAAAAGTAAATAAAAAATAAATTATTTGGCTATTTTTGCTTCTTATTTCGTAGGTATCTTTGGTTAGATAATCTTGTGAGGTGATGGGATTTTGGTGAACCATTAAGATTTGGAGCCCACAAGTCCAGAAGCAAAGAGAAGAAACCTAGAGTCCAACTTGAATTCATATTTGAGGTTTTTCACACTTTCAAATTTAAATGAGAAAGAATATTTTTTGTTTCTCTCCAGCAAATGAGAAACAAGATTGAGAGATGAGAGTTTGGAAGAGAGAAGAGTTTATTTATTTATTTATTTTTGGTGTGTAGAGATGATCGGATTCAAGTGATCTTTTGTAGAGATGATGTTTGAATGAATATCTACAAAATAGATAGTTTGGAGTAGTGAAATACAAGGCTAAGTGGGTCATGCAATTATTTGAAGGAGCTCTCAATGGAAGCTCTGTGTGTGTGTGTGTGTGTGTAAAGTTTGCTTTAGTTTAGAGATTGCTCAAATAAGCTTGTTTGAAGGACATTTTTATAGAGCCCAGCACATATTGTATTTCAATGATCCGACCAGCCTAGTTTATTCATATTCTCTCAAGGATCATCTTCACAAATAATCACTTGAATCCCAACCCATTTGACCACTAAATTATGTGGTTGTTAACGTAGTCTTTTCTTGAAGCACCGTGTTCGTCGATTTTGTTGCTCCCAACTCAATGCCTTAATGATTGATTTTCAATTTTTTCAATTTTTTTCAAGGATGATCTACGAATGAAGAAAAAAATTTGTAAGGGAGCCTAGGTATTCTTCTACTCACTGTAATATCGTCTGTTCCTTGAATTTTTCCTTGAAGCCTATCTTCTTCTTGAGCGCTGGAATTTGTCTCATCTCCGTCGACCAACTTTTTTGTGGTTTCAGCATTGTAAAGTGCCTATTTTATGAAAACAATAATTATATCAAAAAAGTAAAATGGTTTTGCTATTTCAAGAAAAAAACGAAGAAACAAAAAATAAAAACGTTTGCTTGTCTAATTGTGTAAGAAAATACATGTGCATATAAATATTTATATACATGTATTCTACTTACATCGTCAGTTCCAGGAGTTTTTCCTAGCAAGTCTTCTTCTTGAATACTGGAGATTGTCTTATCTCCTTCAACCAAGTTTACATTGTTTTCATCTTCATTTTGTTCCTTTTCATGAAAAAACCATTGATTCAACGAATTATTATGTATAGAGATTCAATTGAGGGATTCTTCAAATAAGCATATTTGAGACAACACATTGTTTTTCAATATATTAAGAAAACTAAAAAGGTTTTGCTTGACAAATTGAATAAGATAATATATATATGTGCAAATATTAATGAGCGCTGCTATTTCCACCCCCTTGTTCTATTTCCGCATCCACCTTATCTCCACAATTTTAAAGGCAAATTTACTTCTTTGTAAAATGACTTCTAACGACTTAAGGAAGAAACCTCAACTCACATAAAATATTTATCCATAATATTTTCAGAAGCTACAATGCAGAGAATAAAAAACTAAAAAATCTATAAAATCAAAATATTATACTAAAACATTTGTCCAATCCGTCAAACACAAGTTGATATGTAAGAAACTTAGCAGCACTCATATTAATATGTAAGCAACTCACTGTCACATCTTCAGTTCCAAGAATTTTTGCTTCAACTGTTTCTACTACTTGAGTACTTGTGCTTTCAGCTTCATTTGGCTCCTGTTTTAAGATATAAAACAATCAAACTACAAAAGTAAATAAAAAATAAATTATTTGGCTATTTTTGCTTCTTATTTCGTAGGTATCTTTGGTTAGATAATCTTGTGAGGTGATGGGATTTTGGTGAACCATTAAGATTTGGAGCCCACAAGTCCAGAAGCAATGAGAAGAAACCTAGAGTCCAACTTGAATTCATATTTGAGGTTTTTCACACTTTCAAATTTAAATGAGAAAGAATATTTTTTGTTTCTCTCCAGCAAATGAGAAACAAGATTGAGAGATGAGAGTTTGGAAGAGAGAAGAGTTTATTTATTTTTTGGTGTGTAGAGATGATCGGATTCAAGTGATCTTTTGTAGAGATGATGTTTGAATGAATATTTACAAAATAGATAGTTTGGAGTAGTGAAATACAAGGCTAAGTGGGTCCTGCAATTATTTGAGTGATCCATCATCCTAACCTCTATGTGTGTGTGTGTGTGTGTGTGTATAAAGCTTGCTTTAGTTTAGCGATTGCTCAAATAAGCTTATTTGGGGGACATGTTTATAGAGCCTAGCACATATTGTATTTCAATGATCTGACCAACATAGTTTTTCGATTTTCTCTGAAGGATCATCTTCACAAATAATCACTTGAATCCCAACCCATTTGACCAAACTATCTATATTTTAAGTTTATATTCATAGATCATCCTTGTAAAAAATTAGACAAATCGGAAACCGTTTCGACATCCAATTGTGTCCTATAAAATCAATGAACACGGTGGTTTAATAAAGTATTAAAATTTCAATAACTCAATTGAGTGGTCAGATGATGTCGGATTCAATTAATTTTTTGTGAAGATGATCTTTGAATGATTATCTAAAACATAGACGGTTCGTTAGTGAAATACAATGCGGAGTGGGCCCTACAAGAGTGTCCCTCAAATAAACTTATTTGCTTATTTGCGGGATCGCTCAATAAAAGCTCACTGTGTGTGTGTATATATATATATATATATATATATATTTCCTTGTCAATTCCAGTATGTATTTGACTTACTGTAACATCGTCAGTTCTATTAATATGTCCTTGAATCCTTTCTTCTTCTTGAGTACTGGAGAATGTCTCAACTCCAAGCAACTTTGCAGTATTTTCAACTTCATTTAGTCCCTATTGTATGAAAAAACAATTGCATTGACAAAACTTGAAAAGGAAAAAGCTCTTTCCAGTCAAATTGAATAAAACTATATATATGTGTGTGTGTGTGTGTTGTGTTCCACTCACTGTAACTTCGTTATAAGTTTCAGAAATTTTTCCTTGAAGTCTTTCTACTTCTGGAGTACCAGAGATTGTGTCATTTTGTTCAAGCATCAGTTCATTGCTTTCAGCTTCATTTAGTCCCTATAGTATGATAAACAATTGCATTAATAAGTTAAATAGAAAAAGTAATACATATATATAAATGTACGTTTAGATAAATTTGAATAGATATATGTATATATATATATATATATATTGTGCGTACCCCAGCATGTTCTTCAACATTGGTGAGGACATTTTCTTCGGGTCTTTTGATGTGATGGTCCAGTACCTTTTTAGTTATTTTGAGGATTTCATGAATATTTGAGGCAGGAGCTCTTTCGTACCTTTCTAATATAGACTGCCATTCATCTCTACTTTTCTTATATAAAAGTGAACCCATAGCTGTGAGGGCTAATGGAATCCCTTGAGCATAGCCTACGAATCTACGTGCGAGTACTTGATAATCATCCGGAAGTCTATTTGTTGGGAAGGCATTAGAACTGAAGAGTTCCAAAGCTTCATCAGATTCTAGCTCCCTCACTATGTATGTGAAGTCAACTCCATGAGCATGAAGCAAATGTAGATTTCTTGTTGTTATGATAATTCTACTGCCCACACCAAACCAATCAGAGCTTCCAGCTAAGTATTTTAACTGGTTCAAGTCATCCACATCATCAATAATTAGGAGAACCCTTTTGTGGCGCAACCTACTCTTAATGATATTAACTCCTGAATAAACATCTGTGACTCTTGATATTTTCAGCCCGAGAATGTTATGAAGAAGAGTCTTTTGTAGTTGGACTAAGCCTCCTGGTGCCTCTGAATTTTCTCTAACATTTCCCAAAAAGCAGGAACCTTCAAATTTATGGGCAACTGAATTATAAACAGCTTTAGCAAGTGTTGTCTTACCAATTCCTCCCATCCCCCATATACCTACCATGCGAACATCAGTTACTCCATCACCTAAAAGATCATTCATTTCTCGTATGCGAGAATCTATTTCAACTGGATAGTTCGTCTCATATGTCAAATAGGCACGGTTTAATTTTTGTAAAATCATTTCAGTGATTTCATGAATAAATTTGGATTCACGCCTGCAGTTTAAAAATATGTTAATCGATATATATAAATGTTTAAATAAGGCAAAGAATATATAAACCCACAAAAAATGGATGATTTTCTAGATTTAAAAGACGACCTACCTATGTCTAGAAGGTTTCATTTTTTTCTCTAAAAAGAGAAAAATAATGAATTTTACAAATGAGAGCATTTGTTCTCACTATTTTAACTCAAGGTGTATCCTTACCACCATTCTCAACACTTGATAAGTGTTCATATGCATAATCATGGTTCCATAAATACAAAGTAAAAAGTTAACCATGATTATACTTATGAACGCATGTCAAAGTATAAAGAAAGATGATGGTGATGATACATATTGAGTTAAATTGGTGAGCAAAAATATTTCATTTTACAAATTGCATACACAAACTCACATAAATCCTACAAATTGCTGATAAATGCTTATATGGCAAATATTGAATCTTTTTTAAGCTTATATAGGCTCCACGTCCACTAAAAGAAATAAATTCATAAAATATCTTCAAAATAACAAGGAAATATAATAATACAGAGAAAAATAAATTAACATTATATTAAAAAAGGTCAAACTACTCCCCCCAACCACCAAGAGAATTTATCAAAAATAGCCAAAACTTGACCCCTAATTTCAAAAATGTCAGTTTTTGTAAAAAATTTCAAATATAGCATAAAACTCACATAAATAGACACAAATACCCTCAAATTTAAAACCCACATAAACCTAAAAAAGAAAACCCTATTAGATTGGGAATCTTTGTACGTAGAGTTCATTCGCAAACGTATTGCTGCCATAGTCAAACGGTGAGTGCAGTTCTTCCTTGGTTCTTCGTTTCTTTGTTTATTCTTCATCTATATTTATAAAATTTCAATTCTGGTTTTGCTGACTTAACTCTTGAGCCCTATCCAAAGTGCTATGATTTAATATCGTCAATTCACTTTGAGCCTACATCAAAGGTTAGTGCAGATAGACTTGGAAAATTATTGAACATGGTAATATGATGATTCTGACATATGTGTAGCAGAAGATGTAATCACATGCTGATGTTATTAGTTCATCAGTATGGACCTTCGACTAACTTGGATGTGTCTAAGGTTTATTTGGTATCCATTAAGTTTTGTAATTTTTCTGTTTCATTTTTGAGTGAGAGGAAGAAATTATACTTGTGCATTGATTCAATCATTTTCTGAATTTTTGGTTCTAAATACTCTTTTTTTCTTTTTGCCAAATAAATACATACATTTTATTTGGAGACAAATGGGAGAGAAGAAGATGAGAAGAAGAAGAAAAGAGATTATGCAGACGAGAGAGAGAGAGAGAGAGAGAGAGAGAGAGAGAGAGAGAGAGAGAGAGAGGGAGGGCATGCTGGAGACAAATGGAAGAAGAAAGAAAAAAGAAATAGAGAGGTGATTGGAAAAGTGTTTGAAGGAAATATTCCAAAGTTTTATTTAACATGGTTTTTTATAGGTTTATGTGGGTTTTAAATTTGATGGCATTTGTGTCTATTTAGATGAGTTTTTTGCTATATTTGAAATTTTTTATAAAAACTGACATTTTTGAAATTAGGAATCAAGTTTTGGCTATTTTTGATAAATTCTCCACCACCAACCACCGTCATCTATTCTTCCCTTTCCCCATCCCCACCCGATCCTCCCCACCAGAAAATCTCCCAACCCCACCACATCCCACCACCTTGGAAAATCAACCAACCCCACCGACAAATCAATCACCCACTTCCACCATAACCCACCACCCAAAACAGATCGTGGCCATTCAAACATTCCATATGTAACTAGACGTTGTGCGGTTGTTTTGTCACGTCCTGTTTAAAACTTCAATAATGAAATATCAATGATGGATTTTTAATTGTTTCTTTGCAAATTAAGGTTTATTATCTTGTGGATGAAAGTCAGGAGGCAAATTTGAATTTTTGTTTTACTAGCCTTTGGTACACGCTCACCCATGTCCTAATTGGGGTTATATTTATTTATTTATTTATAAAAAAAAATTAATAATTCAATTTAAATTTAAAAGCCACATAAGCATAAAAGTGAGACATAATTTTCCACGTAGGCATTTAATAAACAGTGCGACTAAGAGAGAGATTAATTTGCAAGGTTTATAAGATCGAATTTGGGTACACTAGTAAAAAATAACCCTTGCGCGACCAAATTTTGCGCGACGAAAAATTATTCGTCTTAGAAAGTCACTTTGCGCGACAAAAGTCAAAACTTCGTCGCTCAAAACCTTGCGTGACCAACTTTTGCGCGACGAAAAACAATTCGTCTCTCAAAGTGACTTTGCGTGACAAACTTATGCGCACGACAATACATCGTCGCGCAAAGTCTTGCGTGACCAAATTTTGCGCGACGAAAAAAAATTTGTTGCTCAAAGTGACTTTGCGCGACGAAAAACAATTCGTCGCGCAAAGCGACTTTGCGCACCGACAATACATCGTCGCTCAAAGTGACTTTGAGCGACAAAACAATAAAATTCATCGCGCAAAGTCCTTATAAAAATAAATAAAATAAATAAAATTCTTTTTTAAAATCTTTGCATGTCGTAATCCAAACATTTCGTCGCCTAAACCAATTTATTTATTTTTTTATTTTGTATGCACAACACTTAAGAAATTAAACAGTATATGTATTTTTATTTAGTAGCTTTAAATTTATTATTTTAGATCGGATTGGATTTTTGTTAGAAAAATATCTTATTGTTGTTCGGATTGGGTTTTTGTTAGAAAATATATTTTTTAAATTGACGATGGAATTAGTTCATTGTATTCATATAGGGTCAAGGAGTGTAGCTGTAAAAAATCAGAGTTAAAATAACCGTTAAATTGTGATTTTTCATTTATAACCGTCGAAAATTTTTGTCCCATTACTTGATCTCTAAATGTTTATTTTTTCCGATTTTTGGCTTATATGATCTCGAAGTATAAACAAACAAATTTGACGGTTGGATCGTTGAATGGTGTGTGTATATATATATATATTTATTTATTTACTTACTTATTAAGTAGCTTTAAATTTATTTATTTTGTATGTATAACACTTAAGAAATTGAATAGTATATACATTTATTAAGTAGCTTTAACCTTATTTATATTTTAAATCGTAAAATAAAATAATTTTATTTTTTATTATTCATAGCAATTATTTTTATAAATATCGTGCTATGAACCAATTTTTCGTCTCTCAAAAGTTTGTGCGACCAACAGTTTGTTGCGCAAAACTCTAAAACTTTGGGCGGGTACCAAAATTGGGACGCGTGATTTTAAAAAAAAAAATTTAGACTTTGCGCAACCAATATATATATATCTTTCGTCGCGCAAAAATTTGGGCGGGTACCAAAAATGGGACGCGGGAATTTTTTTATATAATTTTTTAGACTTTGCGCGACCAATATGTATTTTTTGTCGCGCAAAAATTTAAAAATTTGGGCGGGTACCAAAAATGGGACTCGAGATTTTTTTTTTGACTTTGCGCGACCAATATACCAGTATTCGTCGCGCAAAACTTTGTGCGACCAATATTCCAATATTTTTCGTTGCCCAAAACTTTGCGCGACCAACAATATTGTTCGTCGCGCAAAGTGATACAGTTTTTAAAATGAAAATAACTCCTTCACCATTTTCTCAATATCTTTCTCTACTCTTACCTCTCCTCTCTCTTTTCCTTTTCCCAAATCCCACCATTTCTCTCACTCACTCCTCTCACTTAATCTCTCATCATCTCTCTCTTCACTATCTCTCACTCTCACTCACTCTCTCATCTCTCTTTTCACTATCTCTCACTCTCACTCACTCACTCATCTCTCTATCGCTATCTTCTCTAATTCTCTCACACTCACTTCTCTCTCTCATTCTCACTCACTCTCAATCTTGCCAAAAGGAATATTCTCTCCAAATTTTAATTTATTTTTTCATTAATATGTGTTTTTGGAGTTAGTTTTGAGTTTGTGTGGGGTTTGAGATTGAGTAAAGGGGAGGGATTGAAGTTTGGGTTGGATTTGTGGTATAACAATTTTAGGGGAGATTATCCCTTTTTTTTGTTTTTTTTTTTGTTTTGTTATTTGACCATTTTTTTGGTAGGGAATCATCGAGACTTTGACAGCTAAAGTTGAGGATTAGGAAGCTATCAAAACATATCCTCCGCCACTTCCACCACAATACGCTTGTATTAGGATTTTATTATTGTACTTTGTTAATTTATGTGTACATTTTGAATATTATATATATATTTATTGGATAATTTGAGCACTATTTTTCATATGTAATTTTATTTTGAATATGTCAATTTAAATTAAAGTAATTAAAAAAAATCATACAATTAAATTAAATTTAAAAAGTAAAAATTTGAAAAAATTAATATAATTAAATTAATATTAAAGAAATAATAAAACAAAAAGTCAAAAACCAAAATATTTCGTCGCGCAAATATTTGCGCAACATTAGTATTCGCCGCGCAAAACTCTAAAAATTTGGGCGGATACCAAAAATGGGAAGCGGAAATTTTTTTTTTATTATAAATTTTTTAAAGACTTTGCGCGACCAAAGTTTTTCTTGACACCTTCCATCCCAGGAAATTTATATACATTTCAATTTAAAGAAGAGCATACAAAGTAGAAAATCCTCAAATATATATAGCCAATAGATAAGTGGTTAGAAATATACGTACCCAAAATTGTTAACTTCCATCCCAGGAAAATTTGCTGCTTCCGTAAGAGCCGCCCTCCATCGCGACACCTTCTCCAAATCATCCTTGAATCTGTTTTCATGTTGAACAAATGCTTCACCAAACGGGCCCTTTTGGTTTCTTACATCTGCGGGGTCCACTTTGTAATAAACCGGGATAACAATTTGCTGCTGTGGATTCTTATATTCAATGATCCTAGCAAGCTCTTCCAAGCACCAACTTGATGAGGCATAGTTTTCAGAGAATATGATGATAAAAATCCTCGACTCTCTAATTGCTGGATTAATCACTTCTGATATATCTTGTCCTCTTTCGAGTTGATCATCATCCATGAAGGTGTTAATTCCCCTGCGTAGCAAACTGCTGTGCAGATGGTCTGTAAAGCCGTAGCGCGTATCCGCACCTCTAAAACTAAGAAAGACATCATATTTCCAAGAATTGGTGGAAGGAGAAGGCGAAGAGGCTACTAGTTCAGTGGTGATATTGGAATCCATTTTGTTGGATAATTGCATGAGCTGAAATAGTTGGGAATGGTGTATATATATACACACACCTGCAGGCCTTTTGCTCAACGCGGCATGAATGTGAAATCAACGGGCACAGCCTGGGAACAGTCTGTCCTAGATGCAATTGTAATTCATTTTTCGGTCTTCGGCCCCATATCATCAAAAAATAATACTCAAAAAACCATATGAATGGAAGGTATCATATGAGACTGTAGAAAAGTAGATGGGGGGTGGGTTTGTGGAGTTGTTTTAGACCAAAGAGGAGGACCATTGTTTTCATTTCTTCAACCCCAATACCGACAAGGCTGGTTATTATAATAAGACCTCATGAAAAAGAGATAAGGGAGTGGGCTTTTGATTTGTTAATTACTACCCTAAGGACTGGGGGAGTAGTAAAAGGTGCTTTAGATGCACGTGGTTTCATGTTAATGCCAGATAAAAAAGGTTTTAGTTATAGTTTTCCTTGCGATGGGCTTTTTTCTTTCTATTTATTTAATTTGGGGGGTTTGGCAAGAAGAAAAAGTAGAGATGCGTTCTTTGTTTCTTCGTTTACTTTATTACTTTTTCTGGATGAGCATGACCCTTGTGGAAATTCATTGGTGGAGGGAGGGAGGGGGTCTGAAATTTTCAAGATATTTACATAAATACCCTTGTCTTCTTTATTTATTTACCAATTCTACTCTACATTACATAAAGAAAGACCCAGACCAAGTGGGGAGATGATCCAATGTTTCTAGCCTTCCATTCATTCCATCCTTGTTTCTGGTCCCAACCCACCCCATACATACCTGGCTTCATATTTCTTATATTCAATGAACATTTTGACATCATTCTTTCTAACAACAACCAACAAAAAAAAGGCAAAAATGCAATGCATGCATTCCTTTAAGAGATATTTAGTCATATACTCATTCTTAGCATTAATAATATAGATAAATCCTACATCATTTAATTTCTATAAACAAACCTAAAAAAAACCAAAAAAATGATAACTAGCCCTATTGCATTTAATTTTGATTATTAAATTACCTTGATACCTTATTGAGTATTTTGGGCTTTTTTATGAGATTTTAGGGTTGAGTTTGTTTTAAGAAATTTAAAAAAAGTTAAAAGCCTTTTTGTTATGTTGTAAATGGGTTTTGGGTGTGTTTCTAAAATCCATTTCATATAAGGTTATAATTTAGGCTCCTCTATTATGTATAATAGTGAATCTCCCATCTTTTAACCATTATGTCATACTGCTGACCCAAAAAAAAAAACAAAAAAAAACTATTATAAATCAAATTTAGTTTCAAGGTATTTGAAATTTGATTATCTTATTAATAGAATCCAAAGTTAAACAATGAAAAGCTTATTATTTAGAATTAGAAGTACTGCAAAAAAAAAGAAAAAAAAAGAAAAAAGAAAAGAAGGGATCAAGTGGATATGGAGAAAAGCTTATCAACTGAAAGTTGAATTAAATTCAAGTTTAAAGAAAGAAATGTATACAAAAAAAGAAGAAGAAAAAATACATATTATGGTTATGCGCTTAGAATCGTCGGTACGTATACGTTGGCTTGGCGTAGTCTTGAAGAAAACGAATAGAGGTAGTAGCTATCGACTTTAATTAGAAAAGCAACCAAAATGAAAAAAACCCAACTAAGAAAAAAGCCAAATTTTGTATCATCTCCTCTTTCTCTCTCTAAGGGGCACAGGCCACAGCGTCATTTCTAATTTCTAACATAATAATTTGAAATCAATAGTGAAATATGAATTTTTCAATGGATGGGCTAGTTAAGGTTGATTTTTTTTTTTTTTTGTACCTATTGTTTTTTATAGTCTTTCTAGAAATAAAATTAAACATTAAATCATGTCAAACATGTTAGTTCATAACTTCATTGACTAATTTCCAATAAGCATTATCATACAACAAATACATATTAAATACAACCGAAAAACACATATTATCGAAATAAAAATATAGTCAATACAGAATTGAAAGTGTACATCATTTAATGTGTATTTTTATTGCTTGTCAGCAATTAAATTAATGAAAAATTAGACTTTTTTTAGCTTTAATAAGTTTATATGTACTCGGTTAATATTTAAAACAAGTAAAATACATATAGGTTTGTTGTCGTAGCAGGCAAAACCTTTTTGTTAAACAAAATGTGGCTGATGATGCAGTATGACTAAATTTCAACAGAAAGTGAGAGGGACCAGAATATAACTTGGTAGGCTCTCATATCATGTTAAACAATCATTAGCCCTAAAAATGATCTTAAATAAAATATGAACAACAATGTCCGTCAAAATTCACAAAATTATTAGGAAATAAGTTAACAATGTATATCAATCTTATTATTTTTATTAGACGTCATATCATTCTAATTCCGGATAAATCTATTTAACGGATATTTGGGGCCCGTTTGATAACTATTTCAATTTTAGTTTTTAGTTTTCATTTTTTGTGTTAGAGTATATAGGAAAAAGAGAGAGAATGAAATGAGAATGAGAGTGAAGAAGGGATTGAGAGGGAAGATGAGAGACAATGATGGGAGGGTGGAGTAACAAAAATGAAAAAACTGAAATTTATTTGAATTTTTTTTCATTTTTGTTACTCATCCCTCCTATCCTCCCCTCTCATCCTTGTAAATTATAATTGTTGCACATGATAGAATACACATTTGTGGCCTTCCATTAGAATTGTCGAATATCAAGAATATACAAGAGCACATCTCCTCAATCTGATCCCTTCATACACACATTCTAGATGGGGTGAATTCTTTTGTGTGGGTTGGGTTGATTGGTTGAGCGGGGCACTTGTATTTATATGCATATATACCTAAGAGTCTTGCCCATCAAGAAACTCTAAAGAAGTCCTTATTGCTTTAGGTTTATAACTTCTCATACACAATTAAATAGGAATCCTTCTAGCTCGTATATTAGCCATGAAACACTAACTTAAATAGAGTTGCAGGTATAGTTGCACTTGAAATCCTAATTGATATCAAGTCTTAGAATCCTTTGATGATTATGAGACTACACTTTAATGAGTTAGACATCTACACGTCTGACATTCTCCCACTTGATCTAATGATCATCAAGAACTCAATATCAATTACTGTAAGGCCTATGGAATTCAATTCAACTATAATTCCTAATCAATATTAGAACCTTGGCGAGTATACGTAACATGCCTCAAGCTATGAAGACTTCCATTAGCAACATGGAGTTAACAGAGTAATGCGTATTGCCAGAATTACGTTCAATTTATACGATGTAACGAGCCCTACTAATAGGGCTACCCCACTAGCGCAATGTTCCCACTGAAGCCGAGCACAAATTTTTGAATGATGAAAACGAGCACATATTGTTGAACGAAAATTATGAGCCAAATAGTAAAATTAGAGTTAAGTTGCTAGAAGAGCCGAATCATACGACTGAGTTGAGTTTAGTTAAGTTTGGAATTCTTACTGGATATGCTTTAACAGATGAATGGGATAGCGTTGTGCAAAGACAAAATTCCAAGTTCCGTGTTGCTGATGGCCTTGATAGTGTTGATCTATGGTGCTTCAGAGCTCAGGGATTTATTTGGTTTGCTATTCATCGTTAATTAGTTATAGTATGAGGTTTCTAATGGGGTATTACTTATAAGCATAGTATTGACTTACATTTGTACAGTACCGATCTCTTGGACCACTGGAGTCCAAGAGATTGTGGTCACTCACCATTGGATATTAATCTAATGGTTCAAAAAAGTTTCTTAAAAGGAGTGCAAGAGTGAGTGAACCGTTGAATTTACATCTAACAGTGAGTGACCACAAATCTCTTAGACCCATGTTGTCCAAGAGATCAGGAATGTACATATGTATATGTGTGTGTTTATACATATAATTAAAGCATAATACGTATTAACTTTGCTTTGCTTCTAATAACTATGAATAAACTACACATATATGCGTATACACGTGTGAAGGGTTTTTCATGTGTGGTTGTTGCAAAACAGATTAGGGTTAACAATTTTAGAATGATTCCAACCCAACCAGATATGAATAGATTACTTGAGACGAAAGAAGATAACCATTGCTTTCAGCTGCCAAGAAATGGTTGGTTAATTTTATAAAATATCAAAGCATTTAATACGCAATAATTCTCTTTCATAAAACCCCAAAATAAAAATCACAAGTCGTCTTTCAGTTTTAGAGCGTTTTACACAACAATTCTTATTTCTCATCTCCGATGTACACAAATGCCTCCTCACCCGATATCTCATTCGAGTTCCCGACCCTCTTCCGAATCTACAAAGACGGCCGCGTCGAAAGACTTAAAGGCACCGAAACCGTCCAGCCCTCCACCGACCTCGAAACCGGGGTCCGATCCAAAGACATTGTCCTCTCGCCCAAAACCGGACTCTCCGCCCTCATCTTCCTCCCCAAACTCCCCGACCCGACCCGAAAGCTCCCCCTCCTTCTTTTCATCCACGGCGGCGCTTTCGTCATCGAGTCCCCCTACCCTCCTCCCTACCACAACCACGCCGCTTTGCTAACATCCAAAGCAAACGTCGTATTTTGTCTGTGCACCATAGGCGAGCCCCTGAGCAGCCACTCCCTGTTGCATATGAAGACTCATGGGAAGCACTCCAATGGGCCGCAGCCCATGCGAATTGTAATGGACCCGAGGCTTGGCTCAACGATTATGTTGACTTCGACCGTGTTTTCGTGGGCGTGGACAGCGTCGGGGCAACCCTTATGCACCACGTGGTGAATCGGGTTGGACTTGATGGTGTGGGATGGGCGAAGTTAGCTGAGATGGTTTTGTTTCACCTGTATTTTAGGAATGAATAGCCCAATAAGCTGAGGTAATTTTTCCAGCGTGTTGTGGGCTGAACAACCCGAGAGTGAACCCAGACAAGGATCCGAAATTGGGTGAAATTGGGTGTGGGAGGGTGTTGGTTTTTGTGGCTGAGAAGGTTTTTTGAGGGACATGGCATGGGCTTACTATGAGGCATTGAAAGAGAGTGGGTGGAGTGGGGTGGTTTAGATTGTGGAGAGTGAAGGGGAGGACCATGCGTTCCATTTGTTCAACCCAAGTTGTGACAAGGCTGTGGAGATGGTCAAAAAGGTGGTTTCTTTCGTAAATCAGGACTAGGTTGGGCTTAGGCTTGGGTGTGTTTTGAAATTTCAATTTCATCTTAAGATTTGTAATTGTAATAGAATATGAGCATATTTGCAGAGCTGAATTAGTAGCGCCTTGAGTTTTATTTGGTGGGAAAACATCAATTTCACAATTTTGAGTCGTATATATTTTAATTTTTGGCTAAACTGCATGCACGTCAAAATTTTGCTGGGCATGACAAACACAATC